TTATAGAAGTTAACACGTTATTGTACGTAGATGACGATACATTCAATTGAAGTTTAAACATTTTAACAACAAACTTATGTCAATCATAACAACAATAATCAACATTAAGTCAAACAAGAGCACTGCATGTGATGTAAATGCTCGTCTATTAAAAATGACCACTTTCGACAAAATTTCGAAAAAGAGTTAAAAAGCAGCATTACTCCAAAAATATAGATTTCAGAATTATGCCCCTTGTCTAACAACTGTACCTAGTCAAGATAAGCAAGTATTCCAAGTTCCATGTGAATAATAATATGCTGATAACTTTTAATATAAATATAATGGGCTACATTGAAGTTTTTGCATGTCAACAAGGACATCAATGACAACAACGTAGCCATCATATTAGCTCGACTTTTTCTTTAAAACAGACAAGCTATGAAAAAATGGCAAGCGCCCTGTTGAATTTGCTGTAATATCCATATTTCAGTGAAACTTAAAATCAAAAGAAACCATTACTTTTAACTTATTATGCTTATATCAAACCTTGGTTAATCATATAGAAATATAATAACCTTGGCTAGCACTCTTAATATCAAATCTCTGTTTATCTACACTATCAAGTACCTCAATATGACAATATGTGTTAACTATTAATTAACATATGAGCCATGCCATGACAAAACCAACATAATGGGTTTGCGACCAGCATGGATCCAGACCAGCCTGCGCCTCCGCGCAGTCTGATCTGGATCCAAGCTGGTCGCAAACCCATTATGTTGGTTTTGTCACGGCGCGGCTCATATAAATTTATGGAAACAAATTAAGTTTGAATGACTAATACAAAAGATAACTCAATATGATATGTTGTCTAGTCAACCTCAGCAGTAATTTGTTTTGTATTTACAACAGACAACAGTTTACAAAAACGTGAGACAATAATCTCGACCTGTATGTCTTAACCCTTAAAGCTACTTGCCTCCAGATGAGTCAGAATCAAACTTGAGAAAAATGTACTAAGATGTAAGGAAAAGTAAAAAAGTTCAAGATTCAAGTAATATTTTACATATTATGTACGATTAATGACTTATTTTTCAGTATTTTAATTTACAACTATATTTCTACTACATTACTAACGCAGTAAAGGCTATTTATGCATATTTTGACCACTTGCTGGTAATTTACGTGGTTTGTAAGTGCCATTAATAATGTGTATATTGCTCCCATTTGGTTAATTCATAATATTACACATTTAAATACATTTTCAAAATTTTAATGAAAATTAGCATGAATCTGGAGGCGTGCTGCTTTAACCTGCTGAATTTGTGCATTGGATTTGACTCGATTTGAGTATGGAAATATCCATTCAAAATTTAAGGGATTTTAAATACATTGATATATAAGTTACACTACTAACAATATAGAGCCTGGTCGGACTGCACAGAAGTACAGGCTGGTCTGGCTCTATACTGTTGGCAAAGGCTGATCAGCTTTAGTTCCAGCAGATTAATGGTTAATGCAAATATTATAATAGCAAGTCTCACTAATAATTGCTATTTATGTTAAATATCGGATGGCTGTAGATAGTAAAACCCTTATCAAAGATTTGAGCCACGTCATGACAAAACCAACATAATGAATGGGTTTGCAACCAGCATGGATCCAGACCAGCCTACGCATCCGCACAGTCTGACCAGGATCCATGCTGTTCGCTGTCAGTTTCTCCACTTGTAATAGAACAGCATGGATCCTGATCAGACTGCGCGGATGCGCAGGCTGGTCTGGATCCATGCTGGTCGCAAACGCACTATGTTGGTTTTGTCGTGACGCAGCTCAAATACAAAACACTCCTGTTGTACCATGAATTGATGATTAAATTGATATTTTAGAATTTGTAGATATTTGACTCTGTTTTAAACATTGTTCTTGTATAATATTTCAAAATCAGAGGACATTGTAGTAACAACCATACAACAGCACAAGTGCAGTTTAAGGTAATTTATTACGGCATGGCCAAGTGGTTAACACACCAGACTAGTAATCGAAATTAAAGTTTTACAAAAAAGAGGTGGTAACAAATAAACATGACACACATCAAAACTTTGAATAAAACTTAAAGCAACATGTTACGCTGATGCATGGGCGAGTTGGTAAGCCCCACTTTATTTTTAATAGTGAAGCTAATGACATGCAAACCTCCACCACTTTTTTTTGGTGGGTTTAAAGTCGTCCCAACACAGCAAAGGTCACATGGTGACTTTCCAGCTTTACTTGTGATGGAAGTCATAAGGTGCCCCTTCAGTGCATTATTTCAGGCACAAACATGCACTAGTGTAGAACCAATGGCATTCTGCATGCCAACTGGATAGCTTCTTCACATAAAAGAATTTAAAGCTGCTGTAGGGATTCTAACCCACAGTGGTGAGGGGCAAGTGGTTTGAAGTCAACAACCATAACCACTCGGCAATGGACGCCCCATGACATGTACATACATGTACTATCTTTAAAAAAATGCACACTTTTTTTCCACATCTCTACCTTCTGAAATAAACTGAGTAAACAATCAAGCAATCTCATATAATCCTGCATGACACGTAATATAAAATGCGATGGCAGTACAAAATGCATGTAAAACATGTTTGATTGCATGAATAGAAACAATATCACAATACAATGAACACAGATGGGATAACATCAGTTATTTGATATAGAATCATTATACATGTATTTCTAGGTATTACATCTTATTGCTATTAGTCTAAGATTTGTTTTAAGTTCTACAGTTGCAATTATTAGTCACAATGGCCATTTTTTTTAGTTTCAGTAAAAAAGGTTGTTTCCACTACCATCCCATTGTCAGATACCCGCGGTTGATTAACATGTTATTAAGCCGTGGGTAAAATGTGTTGATCAACAGCAACATTGCTTGAAATATCAACAAACAAAATCATTTTTAACAAAATTTGTATTCTTCAATGGCGAAGGTAAAAACTAACAGTATCAGTAAATGTTCTATGTATTTTTGCTAGAAATCATTCATATTTTTAATATTAAACTTTTTACTGATGATTTTATTTGGTTGCACCATTTTTTTCTGTAAAACCGAATACTGTTTGTATAATGAGCATTTTGATTGGTTTTAAATCGCCTCATGAAATTGTGAGGCAACCAACGAAATAGCGGTCTTTGATACACCTCTAATTAACTGGATATATCAGCTGAAAATCCCACAGCTGATAAATGTTAATGGTTCGACTGCAGGTACCCGAATATGCTACCATCAGTACTCCACTTCTAACTACACTTTGTTGTTTATTTTGGTGAAATTCATTGATTTCAAAACATTCCGCTCATATGGTGGCAGCTAAAATTGATACAGGATAGTAAGGTCTAATTTATATTATAACATACTAATGGAACGAATCCAATTTATAAATGTAATATACAAAATACATATGAGCTGCGTCATGACAAAACCGACATAGTGGGTTTGCGACCAGCATTGATCCAGACCAGCCTGCACATCCGTGCAGTCTGATCAGGATCCATGCTGTTTTCTATCAGTTTCTCTACTTGTAATACAGTTGGTAAGCGAACAGCATGGATCCTGATCAGACTGCGCGGATGGGCAGGCTTGTCTGGATCCATGCTGGAAGCAAACACATTATGTTGGTTTTGTCATGACACGGCTAAAACATGTTTCACTAATGTTAAACTCAACATCTTAAGTATCAGTATTTACACATATCACAGATTCTTAAAATAACATGAACAATAGTTTGTTATAAAATCATACAAATAATAAACAATAATGGACTTTTAATGGGCCCCAACAGTATCTTCTACATTCTACAATCTAGTACTATTCTAAAACATATCTACATTTTCCTACTTAAACATTTATCTCCTTCTTTTGGAATGGGGATTTACATCAATTCTACATCCGTATTAACATAATACTAATAACTAAAATCCATCCAGGTAGCATTAACAATGTACTTGCCCTAAAAGCCAATAAATGGTAGGCCTAACATGATTTCTATAATATACAATTGAGCCGCGTCACGACAAAACCAACATAGTGCGTTTGCGACCAGCATGGATCCAGACCAGCCTGCGCATCCGCGCAGTCTGATCAGGATCCATGCTGTTCGCTATAAGTTTCTCTACTTGTAATAGAGTTGGTAAACGAACAGCATGGATCCTGATCAGACTGTGAGGATGCACTTGCTGGTCTGAATTCATGCTGGCCGCAAACGCACTATGTTGGTTTTGTTGTGACGCTGCTCAATTGCAGCTACATATATTATTCAATATTACTATCAATTAACCTATAGATTAGGCATAGGATGTAACTATTGATATACATGTATATAATGTAATATCAGTTTTGAACTTAAACAAAATTCTATAGAATAAATCACAATACACATGGATTTTTTTACTGTAAACTAACGTGAATTTATTATGTGATAAGTTAATATGATAAATAAACATGGTCACAGAGTCAGATCTCAGTGCTGTATAATAAATGATCTTAACTGAAAAATGGTCTATATACCTATCATTATATCAATACAATTTTCTAGCATCTGTCTGTCTGTCAGTCCATCACAAAACAGTCTTCTAGTGTCTTTTGTTAAAATACAAGGTGCTTGTTTATGAAATCATCTTCATGCTAATTTTATGACATCATTTTATTGCAAGTTTTCAGTTGTTGTGACATGTCTTATTGTTCAATGGTCACTTATGTCACTATATTTCTTAGTAAACAATATCTATAGGCAGCATCTCTGAAAAACTTTAAACTTCTGTTCAATACTGACATCACTTGCTGTTGTTTGATTTTCGAATGCTGACATCACTTCCTATTGTTGTTAAAATCTAATGCTGGCATCATATCCTGTTGTTGTTGTTATATTTTCATTTCTCATGCTGACAGCACTTCCTGTTGTTGTCATTACTTTTTTCTTTTTTAATGCTGACATCACTTCTGTTGTTACTTTTTCTAATGCTGACATCACTTCCTGTTGTTTTCTAATGTATACTTCATTTCCTCTTCAAGAAATTTAATACTCCTCTAGCACGTTTATGTCTGTGTCAATGTCCATACAGTTATAAGTGGCATATCTGATCTTCTCTTCAGCAATTTTGGCACTGTAAATATATATTTAATTTATAAACAAGTATTCCATGTTCAAACATTATTTTAATTTTTGTAAGTGAAGTCATTTTTCCAAAAAAATGTCGAGCTATAACAATCTATCAGTGTAAGGATTAAGGTAGACCATGGGTAATGGGCACCATAAGGAACTGTAAAATTGACAATATAGGACAGTTATATGTCTTCAAGGTCACCTGTATGCAAAATTTAAATAAAATGTACAGTGTGGTTTATGAGTTATGTATATATTTCTGAACTAAGACTTTGCCATTAGAAGGGCTTATTTTCAGAAATGAGGAAACTGTAAATAATCTGAAATATCATCATTATAAAAACTGTTTTTCTATTGCTCATTGTAAAGAAACAAATAATGACATTCAGGTAAAACATTACACAAGCAAAATGTTTGTTTTCTAAACAAAATGCTCTTAATATGAATAAAAAATGTTACCCTACCACACCCACTTTTAACACTAATTTTACCATTTCCCTATCTAAAAGGCCTTATTCAAAATATCCCTAAAATTTATCGAAATGAGGGACTGTTTTCAAAGTTTGACTAAATTTTCTCAAAGGTATATTTGTTGGTCATGCGAAATATAAAATACTTTTACCGTGTAGTTTTTATTTTATCGAACTTTGAAAATATCTGGTATCATAATTGCTATATTTTTGGCATTATTTAGCAAAAAAAAAATCAAACTTTTTTTCTTCCATAATGGATCAAAGAAATACATAATGATAAAAAGAAAAAAAGAAAGAAAAAAAAAAGTTGCCCCCTCTGGGGTTTGAACCCACGCCCCTCAATTTCAATGTAGTTTACAAGTGATTCTAGCCTATTTGAATACTCTTCAAAGTGGAGGTAATGCATTACCCATGGTCTACCTTAAGATAAAGGTCATTAAATGAAGGCGGTTAAGAATGGTTAAGTCCATTGAAGGGAAAGAAGGAAGGATGAGTAAGAGTCTATTAATTCCTCCAAACAGATTTTCGATGCACACACACACACATAATACAATATTAAATAGAAAATGTATGTAACTATTATCAATAGGTAAACAAGATATACATACCTGGAATAATTTGGTAAATATAACATATTAGCACAAGTTGAGGACTCTGGAAGACAGTCAACAGCATCTCTGACAACAAAAAAATAATAAATATAGAAAATGTATACAATTTGAAGCCAGATTTGTAGCATTCTGAAATCAGAACCTTTCAAAATTCAAACAATTCCAACTTTCTATAGTGAAGCCTTGCTAATCTGAACCCTTCTTATCTGGAATCCTTCCTTATCCTAACAAAGTTTTTGGTCCCAATTTTATTTGTTCTATCTTTAATAGTAATAACCTTTCAGATCTGGAACCCGTCAAGAAAGTCAAAGTTAATTCTCAAATCATTTCTTTTTTTTAAGTTGCTTTGAAGCAATGTGCTTATTAATTTTCATATTCCTGTGTAAACAGTACTAGATGTGTACAAGACGTTAACACTTACCCTCGTGCTGTTGATACATAAACAGAAGCTGGAAGTCTCCGTCTACCTGTAATAAACCTCAGAAATCTGCTTCTATCTTCGTTTGAGAAATTTTTCAATGCTTCCCACATATACTTGACTCTAGTATCCTTTTCTTCAACATCTTCATAGTGTGCTAGAATTAAAACCATAAAATGGATATAAGTTTTGGTGTGAAGTTTTGAGTGGAAAATACAAACTGAACTGGAAAACTGTGTTTGTTTTGTTTTTGTTAGGATTTAAAGGAACTCCACTAAGGTCCAAAGGACTAAAACATAAAAATTGAAAATCTTTAATTTAAGATCCATAAGCGTTCATCGATACAATTTTATCATAAAAACGCCATCAGCCCTAAAAATCCTCAGTCAAAGTGTATATACGCTATAATTAGAACATAAACAAACGTCTGTAAGAAGAAAATGTAAAAATATCAACTGAAGCACTTAAAATGGAATGGAAACTTCAGCAAAATATATCAGAAATATGCTCTTAATTAAATTGAAAATAGATTTTTTTTTGTTCGATTGATAGCTGGATTTGAGTGAAAAGCGTTGCAATGCTGTTCATTTTGGGTCATATTCACAATAAAAATGAAAAGGCTGGAAAAATGAATTGAAAGAATGAGCTGAAAATTTGCACACAAGTTATTGGTCCAGATCTACATCAAATAACGCACAAATCTCGGAAAATATTTTCAGCTCCATCATGTCAAAAAACCTCAGTACCGTCTCTTTAAGACACATCAACACTGTTCATATTGTGACTTTCCTGCTTTACAGGTGGCAGAAGCTTTTATTTGCGCCACTGTGCATTATTTTAGGCATGAACAGCAATACAAGTTAAAACACCAACCTTTCATAAGTTAACCAGATGGATTCGAACAAACGGTGGCAAGGTTTAAAGTCAACAACCCTTAACTATTCCAGCAGACTAAAACAAACTAAACTACCATATTACCAATTGATTCACGGTGGCAAGGTTTAAAATCAACAACCCTTAACCATTCCAGCAGACTAAAACTAACTGAACTACCATAAAACCAATAAAAGCACACATTAAAGTACATGTACCTATAACTATAAACATATACTAACTTGTTCTGCGTAGTGCTTCTATTGATATATCAGGGTTGCCACTGATTCTCTGTTCAAGTTCTTGCCATGTGAGTAAATCAAGCACAGCCTGTGGAACTACTTTCAGTAACCCGGTCCTTATTGCATTAATCTGAAATTGTGAGCATACAAACATGGTATAAATCAAACAAAATTTTGTACAATCTGACGAAAGTTCTGATATTTTATTCATCTGCCCTTGAAATTAGCAAAATTTTCAAATTCAATGATAAGTAATGTGAAAACAATGACAGTGACAGACATTTTTTTTTTGCTTGACCTTGACAAGTATCTGTAATCATATTCTAAGACCATGCGCACTATACATAAATCAATAGATCCCTATTTTGACATTTTATTTGAATAACAATAGATTTAACCTCAAACATTGGCATGTGCTCTTTTTTTAACAATTAATTTGTGGTTAAAGTCTTATTGTATCCACTAATCAGATGCATGTAATTAGAATTAGCCAGTCAGGGATGTATGCAATCTATTATACAGTTTTCAATCTGTTATTTGTCTATATGTATCTGAAGTTACATTTTCATGTGAGGTAAAAAATATGATTTCTGAATCAACAATTACTGACCTCAAAAAAGTGGCAAGCTTGACTGTTGATCTAAGAAACATTTTAGCATTCTAGAAGTTTAAGATAAGTTTGAATGCAGAAATCAACTCCAGTTTCAATTTTATAATGTACTGTTTTATTTAGAAAAAAAACAAAAAACAAAAAAAACACAATGTTTCAACTCAAAAGTCTTCATCAGGTATACTTGTTTATAGGAAATAATGTCAATGTCATACGATGTCAAAGGCAATTTTTAGAATTTTTAGGGGAATATCAAGTATTTCTTACCTGCTCCTCAAATTCCATCATTCTGATTTTTCTCACTTCCAGGCAGTATTTTTCCCTATCTTCAAATTTAAGTGGTACACCATTTCCCTCTCCATCTACCCGTATATAGACAATACTTCCATCACTCAATGTGCAGGTCCATTGATAATTCATAGTCACAAATTCGGATGAAGCTTCCATAGTCTCTAAATTATCTATAACTTTAACCTGTAAATTATCATAAAAACAGGACAATATATGAATATAATTGCTTTTTTTCTTGGGCACTCTACTGGATTATATCCCTATGTATATTTCAGAAGTAAAACTCGTATATAATACACTAAAGAAAACAGAATGAGCCTAACATATACTCCTGGTTTAGACCACAGGGTCTATTCCAAGATATAGCCTTTTCTTGTCTTCAACAAAAAGGAAAAGATAAGAATGTTTGCCTGTTTTGTTTGGTGGTTTTACACACATTTTAACACATTTGGTCATATCTTGACAGGCGATACACCTAACCGACTTTCCTGGATAACTAACCAGTAATTACCCATGTCTAGCAAAGCGACCAACCACTTATCTCACATGATTTCTGAATCAGCCGTGAGAGATAAAATACCATTAGACTCAATGTCCGAGATCAATTCTCATGAAAAAATCTCCCTTGCCAAAGGTCAAACTAGCAACCACTGGACTGAATATCTAATACTCTCCCCATTATGCTAAGTGGGTGCACCTGTCTGTGAACTTCACATTGAAATAGATACAACATTATCAAAACATGTCTCTAAAACACACACTTTTATTTTCTGAACCTTCCAAAAAAATTTATTTAAGTGCAAATGATCTGTTTTTGGGACACCTACAATTCATTTCCAGAGACTATTTACAAACAAATTTGGTCTATACAAAACCAATTATTCTGTATTCTTGTTCAAGTTCTTACCATATGTCACCTAACAGAAGATGTTAACATCTCAAAACATTTCACTTATATTAGCAATTTAGCACAGATGAGCCATGACTGATCTTGGTCTGCACAGGTCATCTGTATAGATCTAGTTTCCACTAGCAGGCTAAGGGTAAAACGTTTCACTCAAACTTATTTCAGTACAGTTTTTATTAACGCAATGTAGAGCAGCAAAAACAAATTATACACTTACTGAGGCAGCATCAACTGTGGAGTAATCTTTAACCCAAGTCACTCGCTCACCGACAAGTTTCTTCCATACAAATGACGGTAAAGCCATGATGAGATTTTCTCTCCCTCGTAAACAAGCACCCATTATTTGTCCGATCCACTCGTATTTAGCAAACTCTTTACAGCTTGGATTTGGCACATAGACATCACGATTTATATTGGAATCTTCACAAAACTGCAAAGTAAACACATGTTATAAAATTATAACAAGAGCCACCGCTTTCCATGGAGCACACGCTCGACTTTTTCTAATTTATAAAGTCGAATACGTAAGTGGAAGAATATTATTTTAAAGAGTACTCCTACATAACATAATTTTTTGGTAACAAATGTAATTCAAATTTTATATCTGACCTTGAGAGTCAAGGTCAATAAAGGACAATGTCACATTTGAATCAATCATCATGTCAGTTTTGTCATATTTGATCTTATGTCTGCATGAATGAATCAAATCCATAAATAAATAACAAAGTTCTGACAATTTAAGCAAATTTCAATAACTTGACCTTGACAGTCAAGGTTAATCAAAGGTAAAGGTCATATATGTATTAGAATAATTCAACATGTCGTTTTTGTCATATGTCATATGTGTTCTTTTGTCCAAGTTTAAATCAAATCCGTAAACAAAAAAGTTATGACAATTTTAGCAAATTTCAATAATTTCACTTGACGGCCAAACCACAAATGACAGAAGTTGTGTTTAAAGAAATTTGGGGTGCTCTAATAAAAACACATTTGTCTTGGTAGTATAAGATGATGTTTACAGCAAAAGTAGAACTTGAAAGTTGAAGACTGACAAAGTTACATTACAAAACCTCACCTCCTCAAGACAACTAACAATGAACATATTCTGTTTTTCAGCTTAACTGCTATGCATACTGTTTTTAACAATGTTTTTTCAGTTTTTTAATCTACAGGTGATAAAAAAATAATGTAAAAATTTACCTGATTTGGTGAACGTATAAAGAAAGGTGTGGGCACTAAACCATCACTGGAGGATGGACATAATTCCTCAGCCAGATCTGACAAGCTGTCCCTGAACCCACCGCCCTGGTCTATCACACCTTCGGACACAAATTTACACTCCCACCACTGATCATAGCGATACGACCATCTGAAGTTATAAATGATATTCAAGATATTGATATTAAGAGTATGATAATATTTTTTTTTTTATAAAAAGAACAATAACATGCTGTACATATACAAAATGGATGTAACAAGAGCGGTCTGTAAGACAAAAGCTTAACTATTCTATTGTCAGTAAGAAAAGGGGCAAATAATTCAGTCAAAATCCATGCTAGAGTTATGTGCCTTTGATAGTGACTTATGATAACAATTTCTAAGACTTATGATAATGTTAAATTGGGGTCAAACTGATCTTGCACACAAAACTTCAACCTGACAATCTAAAACTAGAAATATCTTATGTTCTCAAATAGCCATAATTCAGTTAAAAAGTCCAAAAAAGAGTTTCGAGCTTTTGATAGTGAACTTCCAATTATAATCTCAGTTTGGTTGTTTGATTTTGCAGCACACCTACACAAATAAGGTCCTATGGGGCCAATATAGGAAAGAGGAAAGATGATTTTGGCTAACCTTGGGTGTTACAAACTAAAAGCAACACCAGGGATAAAAACCAAATTCAAACAGTCAAACTTATAAATAATGCAAATGAATACAAAAAGATATTACCTGTAATTAAGAGGGACTGATGTTCTGTCTTTAGGCTTGAGTCCATCATAAATTTGCGTAAAAATAGAGTTCTTGTATTCAGGGTCAGAGGTAGGGTCACATTTATGTTCCATAGCAGCACGGCGATTTATATACAATTTAGGCATATCACTTGGTCTACTGAAAATATCAACAAATTAAATCATATAGAATTATTTTGTACAAATTATTCAAGATTACAGCTCTATGTAGTTGATCTTCACACCAATTAATTGTTTGTGTTGTCAAAACTCGGTGCCTAGATAAGAAATCACTTCACCTGTTTGTGTTACATTTCATGCTTTTGATCTTATGTAACATCCTGTCTTATGGAGGAAACCCTCTACCTGCGGCAAACATATAGCTATATATACTCTCACAAACTCACTGTTCAAAATGCGACTGTGCGAATAATGTCTAGCTCACTGCAAGATGGCTTTGCAAGACTATATCATGTTCATCTAATATAAGTAAGTAAGTAAGAAATTAACGATTTTATTCAATGAGGCTAGCATATTCGGTTTCCTGTGGGTCCACAGAAATAATATAATATGTGAATAATGTTTATGGATAATAAAGAAAAACGTCATATACTTACTCGGAAGAAGATTCTTTAAGAAATGTGTCTATGAGGCATAATCTCTTTTTAGATAATGGTAATAATTGTCTAACAAACTGAAATAAATACAATTTTGTAAAAACAACCGTTAATATATGGCCATATAACCTGTCAGAAATATTTATAATGAAATTATAATACAGCAGGCATCATTTTTTAGAGAAAGAAAGTAAGATTTCTTCATAAACTGACAGCAGCTGTGTATATAAAACTGTATAAATGTCATGATTATACAATGAAAAGTGACATTACAAACGTCATGATTATCTAATGAAAAACGTGCAATACTATAAATAACTATAAAGAAACTTACTTCTAAAGAGCTGTAAGATCCTATAGAGTATTCCCAAGCAGGGACTAAGTACTGTAATACACTATCTACAATCTCTAAGAACCTGAAATACATATTTGAAAATTGAAATTAAATTTTTACTAGAGCTGTCATCGATAGAGACAACATTGATGTATTGTTGATATTTTTCTGTCGATCAATAATTGATACACATTTGTAAAAATCAATAATTTTGGTTAATTATTTTAATGTCTTTGAATAATGAAAATTTGACCAAAACATATACAAAAGCAGGTGGCCATGTCTAACACCAAGCTGTTGTTACATAATGGACACATTTCATAGTGGTGATGACAAAAAAATGGTTAGGGAAAGTCCTACAAAGGACATTTATATACAGGACACAACATATTTGTATGAACTGAACATATATTTTACTAGGTATGAAAGTGAATTATATATAAGAAATAAGGAGTATATATTGATATATCGGTGTATGCCTGATATTTGTCATCCGATATCCATGTATCATCAATATGCTATGCTATGAATCAATGACAGCTCTAATTTTTACTAAAATCTTGATCTGAAATCCAAAAAATTATTACATGAAAATCTGTAAATTAACACTTACAGATGCTTTGTATCTAATATTTAATTCAAATCACTTTATTGAAGAAAATTACATTCTTAACTACAGTTTAGTGTGGCATCTTCAAAGACCACCTTCAGTGTATGATAATTGGCACTCTGCACTATTTAAAGCACTAGTGGACACACGTAGAACAATCAACCAATAGTAAACCGGCTAGACATCTTCCTCACATTAATAAATTCTGCTTTTACGGAAAACTTTATTGTTTCGTTACAAGAAATTACCTTTGTAACATCTGTGATCTGTAGTATAATTCTTCAGCCTTGTACGTTTCTAGGATAGGATATCTACACAAGTTTTCTCCCTTGAAGAAATCTCTATCAAAGCCTGAAGTTCTCTCCTCTGTTGATACTATTTTTAGATCTCTGATTCTTGTGTCTATACCTCCGGCTGAAAAATGTCATTTATGTGCAGATTTTTTTTTATCTTTATATTTTTTCATTTTCAGTAATTTTGAGAGCTGGGTTTTTTACCAAAACTGCTCAGTGAACATTATCATTTTCTATATTAAATCATTGTACAATGTATATATCATCACTCTCGTGCAAAATTGAAGCTTCAACTCTTACAAGGATGTGATAGCATGAGTAATCGAGTGTTACATTCTTTATGAATTTATACAAAAACGTGCATAGTTCATGTAAAAGCTGTACAACAAAGTGCCAATATTGAAATGTTCTTCATGCCCAATAAAAATAATAAAATTCATTATCAAAATGGCTATATATACAATGAATGTTTACAATTTCATAAATACCAGTAAATCTTCCTGGATTATAAACAAAGATTGTACAAAGAAGTTAAAAATACAACAGGGTATCAAATGTTTGTTTTTATACATTGGTTTCTAGGCATAAAAACATGTAATTATTATGACTAAACTTGGTAGCAAAGCTAAAGACGGACATTAAGTTACAAAAACTTGAGATATCCTTGTATTACATAGAGGATATTTGTTTGTTTGTGTTTAAGATGAAATTTTATTTCATAGAGTGGGCTTTAAAAACAGTATTCTCACGAGTGGCGTAGCCACGAGTGAGAATACTGTTTTTAAAGTTCACGAGATGAAATAAAATTACATCTTACACAACAAACAGACAAATTTTTTTTTTATTTTATGCTTAAAAACAAGTTAAACCGAAATTTCCATAATTTTAACGTTAAAATTAAAATCTGTTTCCCCCATTGAGAGCCCCATTTAGTCAGAATTTCTCATTAAAAACAAGAAGTCTTGAGCTGAAAAATAAGTCCGCCAATCAAGGTTAAATGACGGTGATATTTATTCATTTTATTAAAAAAATATGAATGATCGCTTGTTTTAATAATAAAAACAAACAATTCTTGTAGGAGAAAAAGTCCAACTATCTATCCATATTTCTGTTACTTACTGCGAATTTATATTAGACCTGGCTTTGTAAAATGTAAGCGGCAGCCATTTTTTATAGTTGTGTATTTCATGGGAGGAAAATAATTGTGTAAGATTCAGAGGGATATAATTTGGATTTGTTAGTCATACACCTTTTTAAAAGAAAGAAAACTTATTTGAGGATTGTAACAGACAAAAAATAAGTGTTGACAGAAGTGAAAACATTCAGAAAGGGAGATAGGAAAATGGAAAACTTGGAAGCTTGCTAAGGAACGCTGGGTTGTTTTACTTATTCTACGAGTGATGGCTGTCAATGCTTTTCAATTTTTCTATAGCATACGGCAGTTATTGCTCATAGGATACTTTAATATGCCCAAATGTCATCAAGAGCAGTTTTGCATGAGGAAGGAATGTATTTTTCAGACTGCAAAAACGAAACAAAAAAATTTAGAGACGAAATTTGGTGATTGGAATTTGAATGAATAGAAGTAAGTTTTCTCTCTTTATTACTTTTGACATTTAAGTCATTTATCTATTTCAGCTTTGCTATTTCTTTTAACAACCTGACATTGTCAGAATTGTCAGTACAAATAAAATTGAGGCACCACATGGGGAAAATCTTAAAAAAGTAGTTTTGTCATTGAAAAAAGTGAAATTATCAAATATAATTTTCACGGATAAATCAGTAATCCACTGAAAAGCATAAAATAAAATCAAATTCAGCTAATTTTTTTCCTGTTATATTGAGTGCATACATTATTAGCAAACTTAGATACTCGCAAATTAAAACAACAACACTGATATACAGTATTTCTATCTGAAACCAATTGATGAATTTTAAGAAATTAACCAATATTTGACCACACTTCACACCAGCTTACAGCAAATTTTCAGATTTCATCAAGAAGAGAAACCATTTGTGCCCCACTAACTAAGTGGCTCTAAGCATTATTTCTGGCATAATTAGGACACAAAATTAGAACCATGGGCTATAGCTAGCCGGACATGTTTCTAATGTAAAAGATTTCTCCATTATCAGATTATCCTCTACTTACACTTACAATCCTTGATTTTTATGATGATAATAGCATAGTGTTCTGTCATGTTTTCCAATACAGTAAGAGGACCAACATCTTGGGAATCCCTGAAATAAAAGCAAACACAATTTAAACAAGATATGTTTGTAAAACATGTATGCCCCCTATCAGCAGCCAATTAGTCATGTGATAAGGTTATTTTGCATGACTTCTGACCCAGTGATCAAACAATTAATAAGGGTTATCAAGTATCTACTGGTCATGACCTTAACCTTTGACCCCTTGACCCAAAACTCAATAGGGGTCATCTGCTGGTCACGACCAATCATCATACAAAGTTTGAAGTTCCTAGGCCTAAGCGTTTTTAGTTAATTGATCGGAAACCGTTTTTACCTACAAGGTCAATGTGACCTTGACCTTTGACCCCTTGACCCCAAAATCAATAGGTCATCTGCTGGTCATGACCAATCACCATACCAAGTTTGAAGTTCCTAGGCCTAAGGGTTCTTTAGTTATTGATCGGAAACCGTTTTAACATACAATGTCAATGTGACCTTGACCTTTGACCCCAAAATCAATAGGGGTCATCTGCTGGTCATGACCAATCACCATGCCAAGTTTGAAGTTCCTAGGCCGAAGCATTCTTTAGATATTGATCAGAAACCGTTTTTACTTACAATGTCAATGTGACCTTGACCTTTGACCCCTTGATCCCAAAATCAATAGGGGTAATCTGCTGGTCATGACAAATCACCATACCAAGTTTGAAGTTCCTAGGCCTAAGCGTTCTTAAGTTATTGATCAGAAACCGTTTTTACTTACAAGGTCAATGTGACCTTGACCTTTGACCCCTTGACCCAAAACTCAATAGGGGTCATCTGCTTGTCACGACCAATCATCATACAAAGTTTGAAGTTCCTAGGCCTAAGCGTTTTTAGTTAATTGACTGGAAACCGTTTTTACCTACAAGGTCAATGTGACCTTGACCTTTGACCCCAAAATCAATAGGTCATCTACTGGTCATGACCAATCACCATACCAAGTTTGAAGTTCCTAGGCCTAAGGGTTCTTAAGTTATTGATTTGAAAGCATTTTTACCTACAAGGTCAATGTGACCTTGCCCTTTGACCCCTTAACCCCAATATCAATAGGGGTCATCTGCTGGTCATGACCAATCACCATACCAAGTTTGAAGTTCCTAGGCCTCAGACAGAGCTGCATTACTGGTACTGGTACTGGTACTGCAGTACGTACTGCAGCGATTTTGCAAGTACTGGTACTGATACTGAATTACTCTTACAAAATTTTGCTGCTACTGGTACTGGTACTGCATTACTGTCTTAAAAAGTGGTACTGCTACTGCATTACCCAGTACTTTTGGTTTTGATAAAATTAAAAATAACATCAATTTTTCTCATAAAATAAAGCTGTAAATTACATTAACTATATTTTATTTTTGTGAAAAAGTAAGTTATCAAATCTAAAGATAATTTGCTGCAATATTCCTTCAAATGTTAACATAGTATTCATCATAAAAAGCACCAAAGACTGTAAGTAAAAATTAAATTAAGATAAACAGACTCAATAACTCTTTACCCTAAAATATCCTTATTAAAATTTGTTATTACTTCGTATTTACTAGTAAAAGAGCAAAATAAACACTAATTAATTTCTTCTATTCTAAAAAATCCCATTTCAAGTGAAAAAAGTGATATTGTTAGCACCATAAAAAGTTGTTATTTACTTTGGTATGAATTGAACAGAGGTGTGAAAGGCAACAAAAGACTGTTGTGTTTTAAATGAAAGATGTTTGCATTGTATTTATACAGTTGACTGGTTACTAAACAATTAGATATGACATGAATATATGTTGTAAATATTGTTTGTAAAAAGTATGTTAAAACTATAAAGTTGTAAATATGTTATGTTAACTTTAAAGATAGATAGATAGATACTTTATTAACTTAAACTTTTACAAGCTTTTCGTTATAACAAATAATATATGATACAAATTTACAATCACATGACAATGGCATACATAGAAACATTGAAATTAGTGCATAACATAGTGGGAGAAAGTAAACACACATACATACACATGCACACACGCACGCACACACGTACACCAACACACACACGAACACACGCACGCCACGGTAAAAAATAATATTTATCACATGGAGAAGGAGGATGGGTATGTGAATACAGTTGCAATTCAGTTTATGAATACAAAAATTATACACAACATAGATTTAGTAAAGCAGCATGCCTCCAGATTCATCCTAATTTTCATGAAAATTTTGAAAATGTATTTAAAGGTAAAATATTGTTAAATGAACAAAGAAAGTACTTGACACATTACAATCGGCACTTAAAATCCACGTAAATTACCAAAAAGAGGTCAAAACATGCATAAATAGCCCCTACTGCGTTAGTATCGCAGTAGAAATATAGTGATAAATACTACAAAATACAGTCATTAATTGCACATAAGATATAAATTATCACTTGAATCTTTAATTTGTTTACTTTTCTCAAAGTTGTAGTAATTTTTTTCCAAGTTTAATTTTCTTGAAATATTTTGGGTCATCTGGAGGCATGCAGCTTTAAAGTAAATTATGATTTTATTTCTTTGCTGAATAATATTTGCAATTATTTTTTTGACACTGTATTTATTCAAACTTTGATGAATATATAAAAGTAATGGTACTGATACTTAATTACTTCACCAGAAAAAGTACTGGTACTGCAGTACCGAGCTAAAATCTAGTACTGGTACTGGTAATGGTACTGCATAATTTGCCAAGTACTGGTACTGGTACTTAAGTACTACACCCTTAGTACTAATGCAGCTCTGGCCTCAGACCTGGGGATGATTACATTGATCAGTAATTGATTAAATTACAATTACTTTCAGATTTTATAGTAATTGATTAAGATTGATTACTCACACTTGCCTCTGTAATCAATTGAATTACAATTACTTTAAGAGAGTAATTGATTGATAATTGATTACATTGAATGTACATTAGACCACCCCAGAATTAAAAACCACCCCCGCATTTAGGACCATTTTTAAAAAGGTTTGTTATGCCAATGGTTTCATGATCCAGATTTAACCACCTGCTTATTCACTTCTAAGACCACCATATTCAGTCCAAATTTTTGTTTCAATTTTAATGTGACTAATGAAACACTTAAATTAAGTCAACATCTATCAAGATCTTAAATTTGTTGCTATGATCTGCTTGAGGGCTGTGATTTCAAAAGGTGTGAAAAACTGTTATTGTATGAAATTAGGTGAGAAGGTCCATTTTAGAGTGGTACATTGTTGCATTCAGCACATTTATTTTTTGAAAAATTAAATTTTTATTTGATTTATGTACATCATATAATAAGTGATACTGTAAAATTAAAGTTAAATTTCTTCAGAAATATGTTTTCTTTTTATCAGATTAAATATCAAAGCATTTTTTGATAGTGTCTTTTATAATGTATTTGTAGGTACATGTTAATATACATATTGTTTATTCATACAAAATGACTAAAGTAGACCATGGTCTTAAAGTATGTAAGATTAGACTATTCACTTTGTTTTAGTCTGAATAGTGGTCTTAATTGAGGATTTTGACAGTATAAATTTAAAACAAAAATTAAACTGTATCATGTAAAATAAAGGCATCCTTTGAATTTAAATAGTTTTCTGTTAAATCTGAAAGTAATCAATGTCAATCAAAATGTAATCATAATTACTGTCTTGATTTAGGCTGTAATTGATTGATTACAATTAATATAATCAATTTTGGGCAAGGTAATCAATTACATGATGATTACAGTGTAATCATGTAATCAATTACAAAATCAATGATTACAATTAATGATTACCCCAGGTCTGCTAGGCCTAAGGGTTCTTTAGTTATTGATCGGAAACCGTTTTTACCTAAGAGGTCAATGTGACCTTGACCTTTGACCCCTTGACCCCAAAATCAATAGGGGTCATCTACTGATCATGACCAATCACCATATCAAGTTTGAAGTCCCTAGGCCTATGGTTCTTTCGTTATTGATCGGAAACCATTTTTACCTACAAGGTCAATGTGCCCTTGACCTTTGACCCCTTAACCCCAAAATCAATAGGGGTCATCTGCTGGTCATAACCAATCACCATACCAAGTTTGAAGTTCCTAGGCCTAAGGGTTCTTTTGTTATTGATCAGAAACCGTTTTTACCCAAGAGGTCAATGTGACCTTGACCTTTGACCCCTTGACCCCAAAATCAATAGGGGTCATCTACTGATCATGACCAATCACCATACCAAGTTTGAAGTTCCTAGGCCTTAAAGTTCTTTAGTTATTGATCAGAAACCGTTTTGGTTACAAGGTCAATGTGACCTTGACCTTTGACCCCTTGAACCCAAAATCAATAGGGGTCATCTACTGATCATGACCAATCACCATACCAAGTTTGAAGTTCCTAGGCCTTAAGATTCTTTAGTTATTGATCGGAAACCGTTTTGGCTTACAATGTCAATGTGACCTTGACCTTTGACCCCTTGACCCCAAAATCAATAGGGGTCATTTACTGGTCATGACCAATCACCATACCAAGTTTGAAGTTCCTAGGCCTAAGGGTTCTTTAGTTATCACTCGGAAACCATTTGGTTTACGGACCGACTAACTGACAAGTGCAAAGCAATATACCCCCTTTTCTTCGAAATGAGACATAACAAGAGGACAAACATCTTGGGAATCCCTGAAATAATAGCAAACACAGTTTCAACAAGAGGACCAACATCTTGGGAATCTCTGAAATAATAGCAAACACAGTTTAAACAACAGGACCAACATCTTGGGAATCCCTGAAATAATAGCAAACACAATTTAAACAAGAGCCGGTTGAACCTGGGTACTCCCCGAATGGGTTTTGGACAAAGGAAGGTATACCTCTTGTTGTGTCAGAGTAATGTCACAGACAAAGTTCGAAGTGTAAAAACAACCCAAATATTGTGCACGACACATTGTCTCAATATGGTGATCATTTTTGTGAAATAGTTGTAAAATCCGACTTCAAATAACGAAGTTATGCGCCTGACATTATTTTGCTGCAAGGTCATGCTGTGACCTTGACCTTTAAGGTAGTGACCCAAATGTTGCATGCGACAAGTCGATTCAATATGGTGATCATCTCTGTGAAAAAGTTGTTAAATCTGACTTCCAGTAACAAAGTTATGGGCCGGACACGATTTTGCTGCAAGGTCATACCGTGACCTTGACCTTCAAGGTTTTGACCAAAATGTTGCGCGCGACACAATGTCTCATTGTGGTGATCATTTCTGTGAAATAGTTTAAAAAGCTGACTTCAAATAAGGAAGTTATGGGCCGGACACGATTTTGCTGCAAGGTCATGCTGTGACCTTGACCTTCAAGGTAGCGACTTAAATGTTGTGCATGACACGTCATCTTAATATGATGATCATTTCTGTGAAATACTTTTTAAATCCAACTTCAAATAATGAAGTTATGGACCGGACACGATTTTGCTGCAAGGTCATGCTGTGACCTTGACCTTCAAGGTAGCTACCCAAATGTTGCGTGCGACACGTTGTCTCAATATGGTGATCATTTCTGTGAAATATTTTTAAAATCCGACTTCAAATAATGAAGTTATGTACCGGACACGATTTTGCTGCAAGGTCATGCTGTTACCTTGACCTTCAAGGTAGCGACCCAAATGTTGCGCGCGAAATGTCGTCTCAATATGGTGATTATTTCTGTGAAATAATTTTAAAATCCAACTTCAAATAACAAAGTTATGGACCGGACACAATTTTGCTGCAAGGTCATGCTGTGACCTTGACCTTCAAAGTAGCGACCCAAATGTTGCGCGCTACACGTCGTCTCAATATGGTGAGCATTTCTGTGAAATATTTTTAAAATCCGACTTCAAATAATGAAGTTATGGACCAGACACGATTTTGCTGCAAGGTCATGCTGTGACCTTGACCTTCAAGGTAGCGACCCAAATGTTGCGCGCGACACGTCGTCTCAATATGGTGATCATTTCTGTGAAATATTTTTAAAATCCGACTTCAAATAATGAAGTTATGGACCGGACACGATATTGCTGCAAGGTCATGCTGTGACCTTGACCTTCAAGGTAGCGACCCAAATGTTGCGCGCGACACGTCGTCTCAATATGGTGATTATTTCTGTCAAATAATATTAAAATCCAACTTCAAATAACAAAGTTATGGGCCGGACACGAATTCGGTACGTACGTACGGACGGACAACCCGACGACTATATGCTCCCCCGAAATTTTTCGGGGAGCATAACAAGAGGACCAACATCTTGGGAGTCCCTGAAATAATAGCAAACACAGTTTAAACAAGAGGACTAACATCTTGGGAATCCCTGAAATAACAGCAAACACAGTTTCAACAAGAGGACCAACATCTTGGGAATCCCTGAAATAATAGCAAACACAGTTTAAACAAGAGGATCAACATCTTTGGAGTCCCTGAAATAATAGCAAACACAGTTTTAACAAGAGGACCAACATCTTGGGAATCTCTGAAATAATAGCAAACACAGTTTAAACAACAGGACCAACATCTTGGGAATCCCTGAAATAATAGCAAACACAGTTTAAACAAGAGGACCAACATCTTGGGAATCCCTGAACTAATAGCAATCACAGTTTAAACAAGAGGACCAACATCTTGGGAATCCCTGAAATAATAGCAAACACAGTTTTAAACAGGAGGACCAACATCTTGGGAATCCCTGAAATAATAGCAAACACAGTTTAAACAAGAGGACCAACATCTTGGGAATCCCTGAAATAATAGCAAACACAGTTTAAACAAGAGGACCAACATCTTGGGAATCCCTGAAATAATAGCATTCACAGTTTCAACAAGAGGACCAACATCTTGGGAATCCCTGAAATAATAGCAAACACAGTTTAAACAACAGGAACAACATCTTGGGAATCCCTGAAATAATAGCAAACACAGTTTCAACAAGAGGACCAACATCTTGGGAATCCCTGAACTAATAGCAAACACAGTTTTTAAACAAGAGGACCAACATCATGGGAATCCCTGAAATAATAGCTTACACAGTTTACACAAGAGGCCCAACATCTTGGGAATCCCTGATATAGCTAACACAGTTTAAACGAATGACAAATCGCTTGGGAATCCCTGAAATAATAGTAAAATTTTTGTGGACTCTAAAAACTTGTGAATTTTCATTATCTTGTTAAAATAATTACAAATAACCTTATACAAAGTAAAGAATTTGTTTGGATAAAATATCACCGGATCTTTAATTTGTGGGTTGACCTACCCACGAAAACCACAAAAATAATAATGATTTTACAGTACATTTCTTTGCAACAAACAAAATATTATCAAGAAGCCCTTGCAAGCAACGGACGATTATAAGAAATGTAACTATGTATGTAAAGCCAGTTTTTCAAAAATCAAAAAAAAACATTACCAGTCAATGGTCATAGAGTTGAGAGTTTTCTGACTATCTGCATCACCTCCTTGTACGGATATCTTTGAAGGGAGGTAATTGTCGTCTGAACTATCTAGACCTATCTGTAACTTTCTGAAACATGAAATCATTTTATAATTATCCTATCTGTAATTGAAATGACAAAATGTGCATGCATGCATTACTACCTTTAAGGCCTTTAGATTCATCATTTCTTTCAAAATAGCCACAAGAATTCTTACCATAGAGAAAAAAATGCTCATTCTACATTTCATCAACTGATCTTGTATTACAGTTGTATTTCTAAGCTATTTCAGGATCCACAATTCAAGGTCATAGTTTGACCATTTCTATTACCAAACAGAACTTTGACAAGATGAAATATATACATGTAATAATAATCTCCATTTGTGCACATACCAAGCTTCATCAACCTTGTTTTTCTGATGGGATCAAGATTTTGGATTCTTACATGTGAGAAATTTATCTCGCCAGCTTATGAACTGAGTTGCAAGTTCATACCTGAAATTATACATTGATGGGCAGCTGAAGTCTTCTTCCACGACTTAGGATGGTAAGTAACTAGAGTGTCATCTTAGTGCAGTAATGGGTTAAGTCCTTATAAATTGAATAGCGGTTAACCAGTTATTGCACTAAGGTTAAATGATGATAAGACCTTTACAGACCTTTACATTTGCAACCCAAAAAATTTAAACAGCCAGTTGGCAAAACCAAGCCTCTAATATCCAACTTGGACATCTAACAATGAAATTATTCCAAATCCTACACATGGTACATGTTACTTCCAAAATAAAAGGAATGGTATAGTTTGAGTAATGGTATTATTTACTTTATAATTGTGCCCTTTTTCATTTTAAGACGTATCCAATGTTGTCCCTGACTTCCATCACTTTCCCACCATGTATCAGGGTCCCCGTCTGTTAAACATCCTGGACCGTTTTCATCCTAAATAAAACATTTAATATCATAAGATTAAGCAGAAAACTGAGTGGCTTCCTGCCAATACGCACGTGTTTATATAATTTATAAAGAAAAGAGTTTCGAAAAAAAATAAAATTTCAAAAATGAAATCAATAATTTGGGTGTATATCGATCAACATATTGTAGTTGCTAATTGATTCTATAGTTATGCTTAGGATGTTACCTAATTTGAATATGTGTGACCTATTTACATGTCAAAATCAAAAATTCAATAATAAGAAAATGGAGTAAGCACATTATGAGCAAATTAAAATTAAAATATATTGCTTGTGTATATCAACGGGAAGCCATTTTAGAGAGAATTATTCTATTTTTGTGTCATTCTCGAATGAATACGCATTAAAAAATATTTTAAGGAAGCTAAATGATCGTGCTATACTACTTTTTGGTTGTTAATACAATAACTTTTTGTTACACTAAAACATTTAAGCTCTTGTGTTTGTATTAAAGTCATACAGATCATTTTAAAGGATATTTTCCTTGATTATATGATATATCTCATGTTAAGTTATGGTGAAACAAAAGAAAAATAACAAAGAGAACACTTGTAACAAAAGGAAATAAAACCCATCTTTATTGCAATAGAGACAACTGGCTATGTTTTGTTTTTCTAGTACTAAATAACTTTTGAACTATTTAAAACATTGTACACATTAGTCTCTTACATTCAATATATGTACTTGATGTTATTTTCGTAACTATTGATAAAGACAATAGTAGTACAATTATCTTAGATATCCCTTAAAGCCCTAGTTATAGCAAAGAGCTATATTTGATATATAAGTCTGTGGCGACCCTTTGGCCAAAGACCTGCACTCGGCATACATTCAAAATAAGCCAATGTACATGTATGCCCCTGAAAATTATAATGAACAATAATTCTAGCAAAAAACTGCATAACAAAAATAATTTTCCCTTGAATGTTATTGAACAGCTTACTCCCCTCTGCACAATATCTTGAAAATACATCAAAATTCAGATTTATGATAATAGCTGTGACTTTAAATGTATTCTAGTTAGGGCTGTCATTGAATATCGCGATATTGATATATCATCGATATTCATCATTCAATACAATATCGATACACACTTTCACATATCGATACAAGGTAAAAAAATTATTTCTTTTAGTTAATATAGCTTATAAGAGAATTCTCTTTTTCTAGTTTTCTTGGCTAACTTGAACTTCAAACTCCGTTTTCAAATGTCAGTGACAAGAATAACAAAACTTTCTGTTAGTTTGTAGTATTTGTAATGTGTACTACAAGCTGCATAACATTTTGATCCCAATTTATAACACATAAATGTTTTTTCATCGTATCTACTGTCAAAATCGATATATCGATGTATCGTCGATATTTGTCTCTCGATATATTGATACAAAATTTTCCATCAATGACAGCCCTAATGCTAGTCAATACCAAAAAACTTAAAACTTACTGTGAATGATGATACATCTATAGAATCCACATAATTTTTAATACTTCCTAATTGTTCATTCTCAGGAGATAAATATTTTGACATTAGGCGAACTAGAGCCTCATCATGTTCTATTGTCCAATTTTGTGGCAAATTTTGTAACCTAGCAACTGCCTCTACATCAGGTAATATCACATTTACACTCTTCTTACGCAAATCTAAAGAAAAATGATGAACCACGGCGTCTGACCATCTGAAATAAATTATATTACATTACCATTAACTTGTCAAGACAAATATCTTTCCTAAAGGGATATATTTTATAATTCTTAGATTATTAGGCACTGTTCTCAGTATAGTATTTAAGTTGAGGAAGATATGTTAACGCATGTAATCTATTTTAGATGTAGATTTCCTTATGAATCAAAAGAGACTGCACGGTAAAATCAATTCATTGGTATTAAAAGTGCTATAAAGACCAAATGCCCCCAATATAAGGCAGCCCTTCACAGGCAGTGAACTTTTAAAGAAAATCTATGAAATATATTTTTATTTGCTGCAAACGATGGTTAAGTTTATCTTATAATTTGAGAAAAGAATGAATTACTTGTTGACAACAACTGTGCTACTTATTGAAGACTGAGGCTTCAGTGACACTTCAGTGAGATTGAGTAGGTCCTCTGCTGGTGTCTTGCAGCTAAACAACATTATCCAGGCATCAGTGTCAAACACTATTTCTTCCTCTTTACTGCTTCCCTTGAACTAAAATTATCACAAAATCAAAAATTAAAAGCAATGGCAGTTTGTTTCAGCCCATCCCCATGATGGTGAATTTGATACAAGGAGGCTGTTGACTTAAGGTTCTGGACAGATTATATTCTTGTTATTCATGCAAGATATTATTATTATGGATGACATGTTCTTGCATACCAGACTGGTGTTTCCATAAGTTTTACCCATTCCAGAAATTTTATCTGGCATGGCAGTGGGTGTCAGATGAGTGGTGTCATTTTAGCACATTTTATAAGTGAAATGCTTTAAAATGACATCAGTTTAACTTATTTTAGAATGAAACTGCATGCTTAGGATGATGTCATTTCACCATTATTATATTACTATTTAAGAAAATAGTTGTAGATCTGATGAAATGACATTCATTAGTAATTTACCATGAAACACTTTTATTGAGGTAAAGAATTAAAATATGATAGAATAAGGAAGAATATGCAAGAAAAAATATATCATTATCTGACATATTGCCTGCTGCACAGTAAATGGGCCAATTTTTCAAAAATACATGTAATGCAGGCTTTTTCAAAAAATATATGGCATTTTCTATTATTTTTTGGAGTTTTTACAAAGGACTTACTATGAAGCAAATGTGCCCAAACTTTTTTTGTGATAGCATTACCCAAAATAAAGATACAGACATTTTTATACCCTAAAAATGTCCCATTTTACATGTAATGTGTTAGCATCTGTTTTTTTGGTGTTTTTAGAATAAACACCACTATTATCTGTTTTAATTTATCACTTAAATTTTTTTGCATGCACATAGAAAATTTAATAACCTTTCCAGTGATATATAATACTTGGTATAAATCATCCTGGTTTTTATCGTTAAGATAATTTTAGTAAAATCAGACTTTTGTAATGCATCAGTTTTTTCAAAATTCAGTTGTTAAGTAAACAAGTATACCTTTAAGCAATAACAAATAAAATAGTACTTTATTGTCTCAATCTAATGAAATATGAATTAAAAACATATGTTAAGTGTTTTCAATTCAAATTTTCAAACATTTTTACCATAGTAGGCATTTTAGTGGTAAAAAAAATTTTGTGATGAAAAAACTGTAACATCCGTCCCCCTATCATAAAATATCCAATTATAAAACAATACTCATAAAAAACAATGTTTCTGGTGCTTAATGATAGCCTTACAATGAAAATGTTACAAAAAATGCCAATTTCTATATATATGAGAAAAAAAAAATACAAAAATGTAAAAGTTGTCTGTAACATCCGTCCCCCTATATAAGATACTTATTAAATCTCACATAAACTGTAACTGAAAAGGGAATTTTACACTAAAACACCAAAGTTACAATGAAAAATGAAGAAATAACAGAAATAAAGCACAAATATGACGTATTTATAAAAAAAATTATTATTTGTGAACACTAAATTCCTTAATTTTGAAAAAAATCAGTATTTTTTGCTCTGAAAACAAAATTATTTACTTTGAAATAAAATTTATATGTTATTTTTTAACATCAAGTAGACCTATGAGTTCATTAAGATAATATTTAAGGTTATTTGAATTTATTATAAATATAATCTTTTGTCATTCTTTGTTTACAAACTAAGGGTACAGAAGGGGACGGATGTTACAGAATTGAACTAAAAATTCTTTTTACAATAATACGAAACTTATCTTGTTCTTATGATGCATGATAGAGAAGTAGTAAGCTTTGCAACTGTATAGGAATGTTTCACACAACAAATAAAATACTATTTAAAAAAAAAGGAACTAGAAGAAACAAACACAAAATCCATAACAGGATATATAGAAAGATGTGCAAATGATAGAGATGTTGAAAGTATCTTTGTGATTAAAATTGGTCAATTGTTAAAACAAATTCTTTAGCCTTTAATAATTAACAAATCATGTTTCCCAGCCCCTCATAAAACAGTGGGATATGGATCCTAACTATATATACACAGAAGGGGCTGGCACTTTATTGAAAGTTAACGAGCTGTATATTGGGAGCTGTGTATATTGTATATTGGGAAGTGTGATATATTACAAAACAGTAGGGGTGCCAATTAGGGTGATATATATTATGCTTAAAAACAGTGGGAGGGACTACCATATCTGTTTCAAGAATGTCATTAAGTATTTAAGTTGTAGATCAATTAAGTCAAAGGATTTATTGAACTTAAAAAATTTTATAGGCTGAACATTTAGTCAATGAAAAATAAACAAATAAAGAAATATAATTCAACACTCTGATTAACATTTTTAGATTTTTCCTCCAAAAAACCTCAAGCATATTTTCATACAATTTGACCCATTTAATTATTGTTAATAAAGTGTAAGATACTTGTAAGTAAAGGATATGGAATGAAAAAGTTGAGATAGTTGTGAAAATTATTCTGTAAATAAACCCTTCGCAAATTTTTTTGCACCTATACATTTTATTGAATGACAAATTAGTTCATTAAGTGAAGCAGTTCATGTACACTGAAATATTTACACAGAGAATTATTAAAAGTTAGAACTAATGAGATTATGATACTGAATCAATAAATGAAATCTTTGGATAACTGCTGCTAACATTCCATATTAATTTACTTAAAATTTTCATCAAAAATTGGATAGAACTAATTGCAACACAATATAAAATCTTATAATTTTTTAATGAAAATTTTTAAAATGTGTATAATTTTATGTAATTTAGTTAATGAGAAATTCAAGCTTGCATATGTTTCAAATCTGAAAACTTCTTATTTACCGCATCACACTAATATCATATGCTTTTTAAAAAATATAAATCTTAATTAATATTTAACTAAAGTATTTTTGTAAATAATTTTCTATGTATAGAAAGGTACCGTTGGTAATGACATTCTCTCCTTTTAAACGTTAAATGGCATTATCTGGAAACAAAGATTCTTTTATTTAATTAGCAATGTTTTTATTTTATTCCAAACATTTCAATGTTCATTCAAATGTAGATAAGTGAGATAAGTGTAAGAACAGACTTCCCGAAAGTTGAAAAAAACTGTCAGACATTCGGTCTGACAAACCATGAAAATCTGTCGGACCGAAACAAAATCTGTCGGACCAAATAAAATTGATCAAAATCAAAGAATAAGTTGTGTTTGTAAGACACTTTTTGTTTTTAATTTTTTCGCCTTAAAAATCGGCACATTCCTTACAGCGCATTTTCATCTCCTCCCTATCATACACCAACAATTCACTGTCTTGCTTCTATTTTTCATTAAATTTTGTCTCAGGTCTATTCTTTTTATCCTTTTACTGTTCTGCCTGTTCCTCTGACGTAGATTTTTTTATTTTTCCAAGGTATGGCACCTTTAGCGATGCCATTTTGTATACATGCGGCTTGGATAAAAGCCGGACAGTCGGACTGATCCGGAATAAAAACTCGTCGGACCTGATCAAAATTTATCGGACATGTCCGGCGGACTGACGTATTTCGGGAAGTCTGTAAGAAAACTAAGTCTATGCAACTTTTCATTGTGAAACGCAAATAGTAAGAAACTACATAATTGTCTGGTATATTTCTACATTTTTCTCATAATTTGTTCAATTATTTTATAATTATACAAAGCATATACTCTTATTAATATCATTACTTTAAAATAAAACCAAAAAAAAGTATGAACTATGAGCTTTAAACATCTAGTGTAACATCTGTCCCCCCAAAAATGTAACATCCGTCCCCCTGATACAATTCATTTTTGGATTATCTGACAAGAAATATACATAAGAAAGTCCTATAATTTCTAACTGTTGTTATAAGAATGTGTTTGATTATTTGATTTAAGTATGATTTGGTGTACCTATCCTTGTTTTTTTTTTCTCTCTGTTTCTAACATGTTTGAAAATTTCATTTTGTGTGAAAAATACTGAAAATTTGAAAGCAAATATTTTTATATCCTAGATGAATTTTCTGGATTTTTTTTGTAACATTTATCAGAACACATTATATTTTAATAAAATAAAGAGAAATAATACAATTTTTATTATAAACTGTGAGATATTCAGACTTTAAGTATATATTTGTAACATCCGTCCCCTACCCACACAGTCCGCAAGAGATGTAATATTTTGAAAAAAGTATCCAAAAAGTTATCCTTTCTTTCCAAAAATATTGTTATAGACACCCTAAGGTACTTAAAAAAAGCAAATATTGTCTTGTATGTTTAACTTTATTTTTTGACTTAGATGCTAACACAATTGGCCCATTTACTGTGCAGCAAGCAATATCCCAGTCCCATCTGTTACAGAAACGGGTGTTTTAATCCAAATGACAACATATGACAGTTACAACTTACATGTGTAATTACCCTTAAATCACCTTTTCTGTTGGGGAATCATTTGAAATACTTAATCATAATCATATTTTTTTACCATTGACAAACTTTTAACCATTTTCCACCAGCAAATTGCACATTTTTCTTTCACCACTTGCAGACAAAGTTGACTCTGCACTGCCAGTCAGATCCCTTATCCTTTTTACTGTTGATTGATGGTTCACTGTAGACTTGAAGAAAACATGTTGCATTACACTGATATTTGACCTCAGATGGTACGTAACATCACGCACTCTGGAAGTTTCTTGCCCTAATTTGAAGCAACGAATACAGTTCCTGAAGGCAACGAATTCGTGCTAATCGTTTTCTAGGCATCTGTAAATTCATTTTCAAATTTACTTTTCAATCCCCAAAAAGGAAGTCACTTCTACGTTATATGACGTGGATTATAAAAATAAAAATTAGTAACTTTCAATTTTCCAAGTTTTTTTCGAGAAATAAAATAGCGGCCATTTTCCCGGAAGTTCCTAAAAAGTTAACCCATCCCGGATTGAATTATTAAATCTGCTTACTTCAAGCTTCCAAATCTTTATCGTATCGATTTATTTATTATAACCTCCAATTTTTATTATTTTGTTTTTCATTGATCCTAGCGTTATGAAGACAAATAGAAAAGTATTCCTGCACTAATATTGAGGGTTATGAAGAAAAAAATC